TAAAGTCTATCGACACGTATATGTGAGTTTATAATGTAAAAAAGATATATAATTGAAGCAATCGTATAAAGAGACATGATATCGTTGAATATATTATGACGTGTAAGGAACTTAATCATGAGAACAGGTATTAAATTATGTCGCGTAAAATGTAAAATAAGTGTTTAGAAGTTGCTAGACCTGAACTGTTGGTTTGTTATGATAAAAAGTTATCAAAATTTCAACTTATTATCTACCATGATTGAAATGTTTTAAGAAAATTAATGCTAAAATAAATATCCTAAGAAAAGATTATGAATTGTTACAATTCAATTTTAGCTGCAAAACTATGGATCCACACTGCAATAGAAAAACTTCTATATTTAAACAAATCCTGTTTTAAGCCTACTGACACCAGAACTTAAAGTTTTCCACTTAATTATTCCAATTTCGCTATCAATTTAACAGCGTTTACATGATGTACGGGCTGTATTTGACAATTTCCATATATTAAGTAGAAGTCTCATGATAGCAAAGCAGCACATGATAAAATCATTTATGGAATTATGGCATGCGTAGAGGGAAATTTATAGCTACCTGGTTTCCTGGTTATTGTTGTAAAAGGTAAAAAGTGGTAAAATAGAGAAAATAAGAATCCCCAAAGAAAGCCCAACACGGCAAAATTGAAACTGTTGCAGGCTCGGTTTCATTGAGCCTGTTCATAGACTGTTCTGTCAAGTGCAAACTACCGTCCACCGGCTTCAGCTATTTATTTATTTTTACATGGAAGTTGTTAGAAATGAGAAGTTTATATCCCATTCTTGCTTGATTTTTTATTTAATTTCTCTTTTTTTCACAAATTGATGGAAATGAATAAAAGTTAAAAACAAAATTATCGTTTAAAGCGTTAAATGTGACATTGACCCAGTGGTCCTAACAAATTCAACGTTTCATAACAACCCAAGAAATATACTATCAGTCAATCAAAGAATCAAAGATACAATTATATATAGTTCGTGACCAGTTGAATACTTAACAATTGGGTTAGGAGTTTATAGAAGTTCTCACTCCAAACTTTGTCCTAAACCTAATTTGTATAATATTAATTATGGTATTTTCCCAGTAAATTTGTGTTATATTTAATATATGTAGGGATTGTGGTGGTTGTATTGTTGCTTTATGTCATTTATGAATCAATTATGTAGTGGTAGGACATCTTCAAATATTTGCAGTATTTTGATGTTGCTTTATGTTCTGTATTGCTTTTATCTTTATTTATTTATTTATATTCTTATAATACAAGCAACATATTGTCCACAACATAATAGCTTGACAGCTTATAAACACTTAAAGTTAACTGGTAGTACTGATGGAAGCATTAACAACTAAGACAATATTCCCATTGTTGACGTGTATACTTTCAGTAACTTGATTTATGTGGTCATTTAATGTTCTGTCAATTGTTTTGCACGATCAATGAGACAAAACCATTTCTTCTCGTGATAAATGTATGTTAACATCTACCCTACATGTCAGCTCTTGTAATAAATAAACACAAAGAGATTTATCCAGGAAATAAGGTAATTCCAGTTCTAGAAAACACTAGTTTTAATGCCCCGTAGACTCTTAAAAGAACGATTTATTTTTCCCTAGACTCGGACATTAACGCATAGTCCGTTTCTTTCGAGCATCATGTTAATTGTATACGTTACTGTATGTGATACAGAACTGGACTATCAAACTCTTTATTTCTTTTTATGTTCCTGATCTTTGTATATCAAACTATGTCTTGTCTCTGCTATATGACTTTTGATAATAATAGGAAAGTTAAGCAAGATAAAAACTTGGGCTGGAATTGTGTGCACTTTACGACAACTGAATAGAACTTTAAAGAGAGAAATTGAAGTATGTTCTTGTATTTTCATGATAGAATGCATAATCAATGCTGAAGTATCTTTTGAAAAAATCAATGTCACAATCTAGCTCGTGAATTTATATTAATTAATATATCTTCAGTCGGTACGATATTACAATTATTTACGCTATTCAGGGTATTTGTTTATGAAATAGAATACCTTTTTTAGCGGAAATATGATAAAAACCTATGAAGCTAGAATTATATATCAAATATTGACAATGGTGTTCAACCCATCAAAGTTATAAGACTTTCAGACGCAGTGACTATAATATCTAAACTCTAATTTAATTAATATTAAATAATTGATTAGGGATGAGACGCATAAACATTTTTAAAGAAAATATCACCATTCCTTCTTCATTTATATAAGTAAAATGTATATGTTTATTAAATGGCAGTATATGTTATTTGGGTTTTGGAGTGATATATGTGCATATATTAACTGTCACGATTTTATATCACCAGTGCCGTTTTTTATCTAGGCAGGTATTATATCAACATATTTCACTCCAAAACCCAAATGATAATTATATCGCCCTTCCCCTGCCGAATAAGACGATTTTAAAATAAATAATTGATGTTTCAAATGAAATGTCGAAATAAGATTCCCTCTATGGTACCCCTTCACCTGAAATGACGGTACCGGAACATGTAATATTTAATTTTGTAAACAAGAGAAAAGGAGTAGTATGACGAATACACATTTTAGTAATTAATATCAAGCTTTTACGAGGGCATATTTGTTTTAAATACTGATGAGATTATTTATCATTACTCTATTTTTGGTAAATAATTTTTATTTGACAGATAAAATATACACTGAGCAACATTAAACCGTACGCTCATCGTCACAGCGCATATTGTTTACAACGTGGGGTTACACCCAAAGTAGACTTTGAATGTGTATATTACCTGTCTGGCTCGGTAATATCGATCTATTTCGGCATATCAATATGTTATCAAAACGGGAAAAATCTGGAAGGATAATACAATTATCTACACGCATCATATTAAATTGTTACAAAATTAAAGACATTTTACAAATTGGTTGAATGTGAATATTCAAGTCAAGAATGTGACCGCGCGAAGTTACACGGCAGCAAACATGATGATTATTTTATTGAAATGAGAAATATTTCGTTCATCAAGAATTAAAGCTAACATATACTTGTTTTGTCAACCATGTTGCTTTAAATATAATTTTATTTTATTTTATTTTTAATTCCATAAGACCGAATATGTCGTTCTACTGCGAATAACTGTGTTATATCCTTAAACGCATTTTTTCGTTTTAACATGTACTTTTATATTATTCATTGTATGTCCTCTAAAATGAGAAAAAAAGAGAAATAAAGGTCATTGTTACATAATTCTTTAAGTGCCTTTTTTTTAATTATTTTGCTTTTTATAGATACGTCTTGCGAAACATCTACACCTCAAAGGTTACCAAATCAATTTATGTGTTTTTATATATAAAGAATATTAATTCTGAATATTGTTTGCACGTCTTATTATCTAAAATGGTCTGTTTGTATCAGTCACACATGAAAAGGACTGATTAAAATCTGCATATCGAGAATTAATATTAAGAATTTCATTAATGCGGATTATTTCCCAGGTGTAATTTGATATGTTTGGCTTTTGTTCGAAACATAACGTATACTTGACGTTTTAATGCTTGGTTTACTAAATATCTAACACAAATGTAACACAAGTATATAATGTTTCATACCGCTATTGGCTGATATATAAAGTTTAATGTAATTGGCTTTATGTCACTATATCGATAAGTGCATTAAGAATAATAAGAGCAAAACATCTTCTCAGACTTGTTACACACGATTTATATTGCGATAAAGCAAAATTCTCCTGTTTAAGGTAGGCCGCTATTTTCCGACAACGACCGAAACATGACAACATCTCAGATCTTGATGATATTTGGTATAACTAAGTAATCATGTAGATAGCTATATACGCGGTTATTACCTAGCATTATTTTATAGATAAGAAGAGTCACGATGACATGAAACCCCCATCTGTATATACGGCGGCGGAAACGGGTCTTTTTTATAAAACACTATGTTTCTTTCAAGTTTCTTGATACTATCTTAAAAGGACTCTTGTATTATTTAGAGGCCATTTCCATAACATATTTTCTTCTCAAATGTATATAGATAAAAATTAAAAACAGTCATGATCCTAGAATTCAATTTTACTCTTAACTAATACTTAGACCAAGTTATTCTAATTATAAGAAATCATACACAATCGATAAACATCGGGTAATACGTTAAGTTGACAATAATTTTAGAAGTGTCATTTATTTGATAGATACGGAATAAATCTCTTGATTATAACAGATGTAAAGTGCCTTTTTGCAAGATCAGGAAAGCTAAGAATGAACCACACTGTTCGTGGTGTATTGGAAATATATACCATACTTGCGCCGATTGGAGGAATCTGCCATCATAGTAAAAGCTGCTGTTTTTCAATACTCTAAACAATACCAAATCAACGGCGTACTTCAAAGATTTTAATCTCGACGGCACCTTAATTAAGAAGGATATTTATATTGTTTAACTCAACGATTGAAAGGAAACATACGGACATAGAGCAAAGTGGTTGACTCAGCAATTTAGATAATAATTGGATAATATAAGGAACAGTTAAATTTAAATGAAACATAACTATGCATATATTTTATGTTCATAATAGAGCCCAAATATTTTATTTAATAAAGCTGGAATACAAATTAAAAATGACTATGTAAAAGTAAGCAAAACACCAAGTTGCGTTAAGAAAGTTAACAGTAGTAACGGTTAGAATGGAAATGCTTTACTACAATTCATCCTTTAATTTTACTAATCTGAATTACTCCATGTTTCAAAACGAGAAGTTCGGTTGGTTTGAAGTTGCAGCATTTGTGCGAAGTATTTTCGTTATCTTAATTTCCAGTGTAGGTTTATTTGGCAATACTCTGACGATGATAGTGTTTTTAACAAAAGGCATGAAGAATTCTTCTTGTTCAGTATTTCTTGCAGCCTTGGCTTTTGTAGACAACACGTTTTTGTTAAGTTTGCTTTTATCGTGGATTGACACCGAAATGGTTGCAGTGTTAAAGAGTGACATTGCATGTCAACTAATTATTTTTGTAACATACGTTACCAGTTTCCTAAGTGTTTGGTTCATCGTCGGATTTACTTGTGAACGTTTTGTTGCAATTTGCTTTCCGCTAAAAGGCAAGGAAATGTGTAATATGTTCCGAGAGAAGATGGTTGTGTTTGCATTAACATTAACGTCTTGTTTGATTTACATGTTCACTTTCTGGACTACTGGCATAGAGGAATGGGGCGAACTGAGAATGTGTTCGCATAAGGTGGAATACTTTCTATTTTTAAAGGTCGTTACATGGATGGACACTTTTATCACTATGATAATTCCATTCATTGTTATAACTGTTGTGAATTGTTTGATTTTAAGAACTGTAAGAAGGTGTCCTGTAAGAGCAGAGCAACGAAGACAATCCCGAAATAGGAAGGCTGCTCGGGCTTGTGAGGGAATGGATAACAAAACAGAAAACAATAATCATACAAAACGTGCTCGAAGAAAACGAACTCCTCTTATAAGAGTAACTAAAACTCTTATATTTGTTTCAACGACTTTTTTGTTGCTTAATTTACCCTCTCACATCATACGAATTTATAACCTTATAACAGTGTCTACAAGTCAAATGGGAGTAAGCATTTGGTTTTATATTTTACAAGAACTATCGTTACTTCTCTATTACTCCACGTTTAGCTGTAATTTTGTTTTATATACCTTGTTTGGGCGTAACTTCAAACGTTCTTTGTTGCACATTTTAAAATGTCATAAATCTTTAAAACGCCAGAGGGAACAGGCAGCCCGAAAACAATGCCATTCAAGGATGAAAACTTCATCACTTTGATGTGACAAATACAAACGTGCATTTTTAATGTTTCACCAAATGGGCATAAGATATTATAGTAATTCAAATATTTTCTGACTCACATTGTGTAAGACCTTACCTTTATTCTGTTTTGCATTCTTCCACGCTGTAATCGTATACTATAATAAATCCTGTTTAGATTTGTTTGTTATGTTCTATGATTATTAGTTATATATTTTGTTTCATTGTTTAAAAATGTGTATTAAATTTGTGCAAGCGTTGTTGTTTAAACGGTTTAAATAAAAAATATAATTTTGCTATTGTAAAGATCTGTGATTATTACTAAAATACCTTCCGATCAGGACTTTCTCTTGACTAAATTCTTAAAACAAAATCACTCAGTAACTTCGTTTTTGTTTTAAAATGCGGAATCATGAGGAATTTTTTATATGATTATGCCTTCCAGATACCTCCAATAATTTGTTGACGGAATAACAACCAACCTCCGCTTGTCGAAAATAAAGTAAATGCCACTGCTGGGTTTTATACTGTAGGGTTGATGGCATCACAGATAATGACACTGTATTTATGATGATAAAACAAAAGTTATGGTTAAATGCACTGGATCTATAATCTATAACACATAACAAACTTAATGACATGTTTATAAATATGTATGAAGATTTGTCGTTCACTTTCACAATTTCAGAAAATAGCACTCTCACTGTATTTTAAGGAATCATTCTATTTTTTATCGGCAAGTTGTCTTTAAATGTGTATCCAGTAGTTACTCAACTGCAACATGTGGCATTTATTTAAAGTACGCATATTATGTCACATAAAACGGCCATTGGCATGTTATTTTCAACATTGTTTTTTTTTTTTTTTTTTTTTGGGGGGGGGAGTATAATGACCCAAACATATGTCACTTTCGCGCAATAATCAGATTTTCCTTCTTTTCGTGGTTACTTTCGTGTTACTTATTTAAAATTATATTTATCGAGCGTAACAGCCGTAAACTTTAAACAGCTTTTTAATAAATCATAACGCTCAAAAGCATATTATTATTATTGTTTTATTTTTTTGTATTTAAATTCATTTTGATTCAAAGAAGAATTGCTTAAAAAGAAACTCTCTAGTCAGGAACAATAACATTATTATTTATTTAATTAACACTGCAAACTAACGATAGTACATTCTGTAACAACAGCATCTTGTTCGTTTTGCACTTGTTATTTATTTTTAACATACTTCCTCATTTGTTATCAATTATAACATACGCACATAGATTTGGTTTAATTGGTCCATATATTTTTGAATTAAAACGTAGTGCAACGAAGTTGCTGATCTATTTATATTTACCCTAAGGTATGTTTAGTAATCTTTTTTTCCACTTTCGGAAAAGAAATCCTAAACAAATGTACCGACTCCTCTCTACTTAGGAGTGTTTCGTAGTTCGTTTAAAATATATATTATAGAAACTTGTTAGGGATAGCGTATTAATTCAATTTGACGTGTCAATTAAATCAAGATTGAAGCAAAACGTGTACAATATATATTTCATTTATTTTTAACTGGTGTGGACACTTGATTATGTTGCAATCAATAAACTCGAAGGCAAATTGAAATGTAAGACTACACAACAGTAACAAAAATTAAGGAGCTATATTTTACAGCTTCTACTAAAGCTTGCTATATATGACAGCTCTGCAAAGAGTGCACTGTATTTATATTAAGAAAACGTGCATTAAAATGGCATAATGCCTATCAAAATGTAAATTGTGAGTGCACAGGCAAAAGTCAAAATAATTTTACTTTTTGATAAATTTGTGTTCAATTTCATTTCTTACAAATAAGTATGAAAGTAACAATCAAAATCGTATGCAACCCACGGACATTTCCATAAATATCGTTTAGAATGTATTGGGAACGTTTAGATTTTTACAATAGTATTGCAGTCTTTTTATGATTACGGTACTTTTTTATATTTTAACCACAGCATTTTTCATTACAAATTATGGCTCAATTGTCATTATTAAAGTCAATCTCTTGATTTATAATAATACTTTACTCACTTTGACAGTGCAAAATTGAATATAACAACTCTTTAATAAGCCTTATAAAGTACCTGTCTACAATTTTTGCCCAGGGAGTATTTTCAGGGGATAAGAATTTCTGAAATTTTCTATTAATTGCATCGAGAATAAAAATCAGCACCTTCCCATTCTGAAGGGTGTCCGCTCGACGAAATGCATTTTTATAAATACCAATTATTACTGAAGTAATAGTGGGTAAAATCTTCATTCACAGAAGTAAAAAATAAAAAAAAGAAATATGGTGCCGTATTCAAGACCTACATATCCTAAAAGGTGTGTGTCGCAAAAGCCTTAACTGTTCACCTTAAATTCAAACAGTAAAAGCTTTAGTTTTCTGTCAGAACTCTTTCACTTCCGGAGGTGCAATATTATATGTTTCTATATCTTTCATGATAAGTTGTGGGACATTTTTAAATTTGGAAGAAAAAGAAATATTCACAATAATTCCATTCAATACATGAATACGAAAACGTTTGGGAGAAATAAAGTTTATGATGACATTACACAAAAACATCGATCTTAATATATTTATCCTGTGAAGAATATAAGAATTTACGTTATCAAAGAGAAGGTTGCTACAATTTTATTTATTGAATTTCGGACACAGTGTATGAGAAAGGTTATCAAGATCTCCTGCAAAACTAACTAGTTTCAAACCTTTGCTCCGTTATATTTCTAAATATTAACATAAACCATAAACACACCTGTTGCAAGTAGATCAGTTGGTTGTGTGTAGAACAATTGTGCGCTTGTTTGTTTTGTTTTATCCTGCAAACGATTGCTAGACAGTATATCTTAAAAACTGTGTCTAAAGAAAGACAAAAGAGAAAAACAGATCTTAATAAGTTCTGCCTGCTTAAAGCTGTCCTGCTCGAAACATGCTAACGGGCGTTTATATCTGTATCAAGTGACCCATAAGAACCGTTAGGTCACAGTTTTCTCGTGAAAACTGCAAATTTTACTTCAATGAAAATTTAATTACTGTGAACTATTATGTTGATGTTTGAGACCTGATTTATGTGGGAGAGTAGCTTTAAAATGTTGTTAACAATTGGTAAATATCCTCAAAATATGATTTGAGTCGCTCATTATAGTATTAACGATTAACACGCATTATTGCTGCCAAAATTACAGCTATGCGAATCAATAAGGATCGGCTGATAAATAAGACTACATGATGTCCTCGTTATACAAGTACACAAGAATATCATGTTTGATATTTGTACATTGCGGATATCAGTACAGGCATATTAACATGCAAGTATAATTATATACGACATAACACAATTCAAACATCTCTGAATTCATCTTTTTCCATAGTTTATACCATATCCACCGTGTTTATGAAAATGTTTAATTTCATATTTGATCAGAATTTAACCAACCTAATAGATAGATACACATTGACTATCGTGTGATTTTAATTACGTAATGTTTTAACTGTAAACGTACCCGTTAGCATGTGTACTTGACATATAAACATTTTTTCATTGTGTTATTTTCCTCGTGTAAATAAACGTTTTAGATAACTTGCCACAAGAGTGTTATTATACTTATCTGTAACTAAACAAAAGTTATTAAAAGTATGATGAATTAATTTATAAGTTCAATTTCACTTTTATTGGGTTTCGTCTTATACAACTAAATCATCAAATGAAACAACAGAAAAGAATGTTCGTGAGAAACTGTTCAAGTTTGTGGAGTATTAAACATTGTTATAATTTATATCTTCCATTTATGTCAAACCCCTCGCGGGGACGTAGACATTACTCTAGACTACAGAGACTGCTATGAGATACAAGGGAAACAAGGAACCAGCCCTAAGCTTTTATTGAATAGACCGACCCCTAGGTTATTTCACATGCCAGTGCATAGCACTGATACATGCAAGGATTATCTGGATTTCTTACCAGTACACCTCTAGGTAGGTGGGAAACACTAGAAGTGTCTCTAAAAATTCAAAGGGTGTTACCAATGATCGAACCCAGGAACCTCAACCAACTGAGCTATCGCTGTTCCATATCTTAATGTCTTTGACAACACGGGAGATATTCTACAGTTCGAATGCTTTTGACGGATTTACCATCAGTTTTCCTGGGAGGGATTACGCTTCAACTTGAAACGTAAGTTGTTGTTTTTTTTAAAAAATTCCATGGTGGCTGATTTGGAACGCTTCTGTGCGTCGTATTGGCGCTAGCGACAACATGGCAAAGCGTCAAATGGCGCGTTGTCGGACATCCGTCTTGTCGTCCTGTCGCTAACGATGTATGCCAAATGGCGCGTTGCCGTGCGGCGTGTTGTTGCCGCTAGCGACAAGACATAAAAGGCGAACACGATATAGATTGCGTTGTCCCTAACGGCAACGCAATGCGCAATGCACCATCTCAGCCACCATAATATTCCATTTGCGGCTTTTTCAAAAACATAGCTTAACGCAATTTCCCGGTACACAATATACAAAATAATTAGCCATGAAAAAGTTATATAACATTTTATATTAATCATTGTGAAATTTTACATTAACAACGCTTTTTTCTAGCGTAACATGGAAACTGAAAAACGCAAAATATCAGATTAATGAAGAATAAACATGTAATAGGTTAAAAATAGGTCTTGTAATGCAAAAATCCCAGACCTGTTTAGTTCTAATTTTCAGATTAGTGGATACAAAAAGAATTTCACCACAACCTATTCGTAAACAAAAGAGCACATGTCAATGTTTGTGGTTAAATCTATTGTTATTCAAATAAAAGGTCAGAGTAAGGGATCTATCGATTTGGACTAGGTACATAGTTTTGTGGAATTCACCTTTATGGCGTGTAATAACGATCTGTATGCTTTTGACCTTTTTGGGATTAAAGTGAAATAAAACAATAACTTCATTGTAAGAAAATAGTAAAAAATACCATTGTTCTAATAATTCCATGAAGTTTTGTTTTGTAA